AGGGGAGGACAATTGTGACTTGGCCAGAGGACTAAGCCACAAAGGAGAATCGATGCAGCTCCCAACTAACGAGAGAGGGGCCACAAAGTGAATGACTGAGGCAACAAGCAGATGGAGCATGGACAGTGGAGAGCTAATTCCCCAGATGAGCCAGCAGGAGGCACTGCTGAGCAGTGAGTAGCTGACCCCATTACACCTGCCTATTAGGAATGGATGTTGATGTCTTGGCTACCATACGCTATATGAATGTTTGACAGTCTTGGACATTTTATGCTATCCAGGGAACAGTAAGAAAGCAGACATTAAAGATCAGTTCTAACATTACACCACAAGCTCTATATAATATGAATACCTACAGTACAGTGAGAAAGCAACTTTGGTCTCTCTCTGTCTAGATTTTTATATCTCACACATCACTGTGGTATCTGAGAGCCACTATCATATTTATTTTGAGTGTCAATGACTGAGGTCAACATAACTTAAAATTAACTGTTTATGACCAATAACTCATATTGTAAACTCTTCCTAGAATGAAAGGTCTTCTTCAGGTCAGAGACTGTGTGTGCACTTAGCACACTGTGTGCAATACTAGAATAAAACTAAACTGAAAATAATAATTAGCTGCTGATTCTGCTTTTAGGGGCCTAAGCTGATCACCGGTGTCTCAATCTAACCAATCATCAGTACTGGTGAGTTCTGTAAAGCTTTTATCACAGCAGGATGATTTTTTCTTGTCAAAATTGGCATCAATTATGCTAATTAAATTTGAAGAGTTCATTAGCTAAATGGTAATTGTGGTAACATGCATTAAAGAAATGATGATATACAAAACTTGCTTTCAAGAAAATCACTTTCCCCTTTTCAGATAACCTTCAAAAAAAAAAGCTTGCAAAGAGTAATAAGAGAAAGCAAGATTTCAGAAATTATTTTTTTATGAACTGTTAATTTATTCAATACCGGTTTTCCCCCCTCATTTGTATTTTTAATTTTACACTGTCCATGACTTCTAGGCTATGCTCTTTTTCCCAAAAATTGTTTCATGTAATGCATTTGTCATACTCGTCAATTTTTAGACAGACTGATTTGGATACATAGTGATCACTACTAAACTATCAGCATTTGCCAGTAGACACCACACAGTTACTATGGTTATTTCCTGTTTGTAGCATGGGAGATACACACTGTGTGATAACCGCCAGCAAGTGATGACTTTTTAAACGGTAACCACTGTACTGTGCTTTACAATGTAACTTTCCTCCAAGTTGCATTGTCCATGCTGCAACTGTATTAAATCTAGTTGCTCATTTCTCCTTTTGTTTAAACTAGTGCAGATCAGGAGTAATGCCGCTGAAGTCACAGTGGTTATGGTGATGTAATAGTGGTGAGAGAGGAGATCAGGCCCTAGATATTGTTATGGCAGGGTTCGTTAGTTAAGCTTTTACACACTCTCTTCCAAGTTCTTTTTCTTAGCATGCAAGACAATTATTAGGTTTTGGAAGAAATGTTGTGTTGTTGTTGTTTATTTGTTTCACAGTAGTGGCTAGGAACCTCAGTCACGGACCAGGATCCAATTGTGCTAGGCCCTTATTGATTTTCTGAATTTCTTCTGCTGTAAACTGTCTAACTAGATTAAACTCTGGGGCAAAATTGCTCCGGTGTTGGGCTGAAATTCCTGAAAGAAGGGATTGCACTGCTTTCTGTCTGTGACCACCTCTATTGCAGGACTGGCAAATATGTGTAAGCAGAGTCAGGATGAGCTCTACCCTGACATCTGGTGGTGAATTATGGCGAGTGTGGAAACGCACTCCAGGGGCTGATCTTGTTTGCATAGGCACACCCACTCGCCTGGCATGAAACAACAGCAACTGAAAGTAGTTACTTTGGCTGGTGTAGGATCCCCAGTTTCTCTGTTATTGGGGCAGGAAGAATAAAGTTTTGTTACCCTGATTCTGTGAATCAAGACCAGTGGAACTGTTGTATGACAGAAGGACTCACCATTACCTAAGTAGCACTTGCTTGACAAGGGGCATGGGTTACAAAACCTAGTGAATTGAAAGAGGTTGGGGGCAGGTATTTGTATCTGGTGGTGTGGGCCCCTTTTTGTGAGCCTGAAACACCAATTGTTCCTCCTCCTCTCTCCACTGTTGAATGTCAGAGCTAACTTTGATTCCATTAGGAGTCTAGTTACAGGCTGCTGAGCTGAATTCACTTCGGGCCAATAGTGCACCAGCACTGGGGCTCCCCTACTACTAGCTGAAATCACAAAAGAGCTAAAGTTACTAAGAGCTGAGGTTACTGAGGCTGTGTTGACTAGTGGTGGAGCCTGAAGCTATATTGCTAAGCGGCTGGCGGAGCAGTTTGTGGGGACAGCTGGAGGAGCAGCTAGCCGAGCGGAGCCAAGCGGCTCACAGGTCGGTGAGCGAAGCGGAGCAGCTGGTAGAGCAGAGCAGAGCAGTTTGTGGGACGGCAGAAGCGGCTCACGGGACGGCTGGTGGAGTGGAGTGGCTCATGGTGAAGGCTGCGGCAAAACCCCACAGAGAGGTGGCCGGTCGGCCTCGGATCACGTAAGGTGCCCCTTAACACCCTGCGTGCCCCCCCCTTTGAACTCTGGGGCTGCACTGACCAGGGACAGAGACTTTGGTGATTCTTGGGTTGCTGGTTTCAAGAACCAACGGGAAAGGACACGGCCCAATTTGCTGGGGTGGGTCTTCGCTCATGGTTTGGTCTATGAACTCTAGTTGTGGTGTTTTCCCAATTTAATGCTATGTCGTTTACCTCATGTTATTAAACATTTTCTGCTACACCGAGGCTCTGTGCTTGCGAGAGGGGAAGTATTGCCTCTTCGAGGCGCCCAGGGGTGTGTGTAAGATTTTCCCAGGTCACTGGGTGGGGGCTCGAGCTGGTTTTGTGTCATGCTGTTGGAAGGGGACCCCTATGTACTGAACCCGGCCCTTGCTGCTATCAACTTGGCCTGGCAGAAGGGTTACATATGTGTAAATAAAACAAGTTACATTAAGAATATCTCTAGACTCCATATCACATCACTACCATAACCCCCTTGACTTCAGTGTCATTACTCCTGATTTTGCCTCCCATGGGAAACTGAATTGCAAGGCATTAGACATCTGCTAAAGCTCAGCAGAAACAATATATACCCAATAGGTTAAAAAAAATCCTGTTGCTTTCCTGGTTGCTCCGCAGTGAGGGTAGGCAATTCCTTATATTGTGTATCTCTATACTGTCTGCACGAATCCAAAGAGTGGTACCTACTAGTTCGAAATGCCAAGAGAAGACAAATGACAATGGAAAAGCTCTATGACGTCATTTGACCATCATAAATTATGTCCTTTTTTGGGGGAGGGGGTTGCTCATGAAAGGTGTTGGACTGACAACTCTGGAAAGTGGAGCCTGGGCAGATGATGTACCAATTTTATTTTTATTTTTTGCAAACCTTTTTTTAAAGACTCTCACTTCCAGTGAAGGGCTCTTGTGACCCTTGTGTGTGTTTTCTGTGAATATTCTGGCACACAAGTTTACTGGCAGGAATATTAGCGTTCACAGTGTGTGTTTCAGAATGTTAGCAGAAAGTGCTGAATATTAACACCGCAAAGCTGATTCTAAACAATTTGCTCATTCAATCAGGGAATAAAAACCTACCCCAGTACACAGAACATCTAATCAAAACATTTCAAACTGTTTATATCCTATTCCCAGACCCACAGTAGCGTAGATTGTGACTGCTGACTCATTTATGGGTGGATCAGATTAGAGGAGAGCAAAGACCCCTTTTCCCTACCCTTCTCCCCCTGCAACTTCCAGAGCCTGATTAAAGTCAGCTACCACTGCAACTCCTACATCTTCTATCACTGGGCTGGATAGAAGATATTTCTGGCTTCAGAGGCTGAATCCTTTGTTATTTGACATACCAACATCCTGCTGCTGATTCATATTTAGACAGGCAGCATCGTGTGTGTGGTGCTGGAATAGAATTTTCTCTCTTCTGTCATCCCATATTGATGTTGTTGAATGCTTATGAGACCATATTTAATCAGCTCCAACTAGTCATTTTAGGTAAGGAATTCTGGTCCCTCTGTGCAGATTTTTTTAAAATGTAATTTATAGTTCAGGTAGCCGGCCAGCAGTGACTAATTCTGTGGTGCTTTGAAACCCAAGAGGTCAGAAAGGAACAACAAATATTTCACTTCCTGTATGTTTCTAACATCATGTTACAGCACTTGTACCAAGCCGGGCTTCTGTACTTCAATGACCTTTTGCACTTCATTTTGGTTGACTTCACACTGACAAAAACACCCCTCCGTGAAATCTGCATCTGGAAGTTTTCAGTGCGTGGAAAGTTTTAGCATCACAAGTTGATGGTCCCAGGTTAAAGTAAATGTCACAAATCAGCAAACGAGAAGAGGATAAATGTGAGTGGATAGTGTGATAGAAAACTAGCTCAAGGGAAATGCTTGACCTGTAAAATGCTCCTGTGGCAACAGGCAAGTATTATCTTCTGTGACTAAATCAGAAGAAATTATTAGAATATTGCTCCCTTTATCAGTCTCTCACATTCATAATTTACAGGTAACGGTGAATGAAAACATGCCTGGTGATATTTATAGATTGCAGTTCTGCAGAGTGATTGATTCATTTGCACATACCACTCTAGTTGTGTAACTACTAAATGGGCTAAATCCTGAAAACGAGCCCCTGCAAACCTCAATAAAGTTAATGGGAAATCCAGGCCCTCAGCATGACTCAGAATTTAATAATAATGAATACCAATAATGAATTAACCAATAATGAATACTTAGAGTTAGACGGTCACAGCCCGTACTCAGCTGCGTGTGGGAATAATGCCTCCCTCTTACTCTGCTCTGCCTTACTGAGATTTTGACTCCAGCCATAGTGTAGGAGGCAGGACAGCAGGGGATAAACTGTGACTCTGAGTCAGTTCAGGAGGAATTGTGATTCTGAGTCACCATTAGTTCCCGGTTTGCTCCTGTGGCTTTTATACCTGGAAGCACTGCAATACCAGGTTGATGCATGGAGTGGGTGAAGCAAGCTCCTATTCCAGCTCCTTGTTCCAAAAATCCATTTAATACAAAGTTCTCTGAAAGAGAACATATCAGGTATTACACTGATAAGAACAGATACTGTGCTTGAGTGGCCCTTTATTCAGGACAGAATGTGAGGTACTGCCAACTCTCATTTGATATACTTGCCTACCTTTGCTTCTTAGCTCCAAACATTAGGGCACGTGTGTTATAAGGTCAGTGAACTAACCAGTACGCACAAATGAAATAGCTTATTTTACAAGATACCTGAGACAGCAAGGACGAAGGCCAAATTGTGCCCTTGGATGTTTGTGCCGAGTTCCATTATCGTTAATGGGAGTCAAACACATCCAAGGGCAGGATTTATCCCTCAATCTGTCCTGATTTACACAAACTGTGTAACCCCACCAAAGGAAAAATTTGCCATGGGGGCTCAATCCCAAAGATCTTATTCTCTATTAATTTCTGCTGATCAAGAAAGAGTTCTGTGAAATCTTAACCTGTACAAAGAGGAGGACAGAGAATGAATGACAGGATTTGGGCCATGGGTAACTTACCTTGTTAAAAAAATTCTGCTACAACTTCTAGAGAGTTTGTGTACATATGACAGACACACAAAAGAGTCTGACGAGCATGGATATGTTTCCACTTTGTTACATACGTTTTATGATAAGGTAATGCCACTGAAATCAATTGAGTTCCACTGGAGTAAAATGAGATTAAAGGAGGGAGAATCAGGCCCTAAGGATATGACTACACAGAGGTGGTAATATGCACTATGAGGGCGTGATTTCTAACGCGCACTAACATGTTGTGCATCAATTGGTCCGTGTACAACCTGCTGGCGCACAAGCAAAGTTCCCTAGTGCCCTTTAACATGGTACTGTTTCAAACAGTGTGCTTGAGAAATCACACCCCCATAGCATGCATTGCCACACTGTATAGACAAGCCCTAGCCCTGTGTGTTTATGGTTAAATATTTAGCTGGTGTGAGGGATAACTTTTCTTATAATACTCTCATCCAAAAGATGCAATATCCCATAGGTGTCAATATTCTACAAAAAGGTAACATACTCCTTGTTAGTACCTCCATTAAGCATGGATTTAATTTTTATCTGACTAGAACTTCAAGAAAAACATTGCACCAGGCATTGGTCACATAAGGAGTTAGTGTCAGCCATTAACATCACTATATTTTTATTGACATTTTTCATAGATCCTCTCCTGATTGTAGCCAGTAAATGTAACAAAGTGTCACTTTATCTTTAAAAAACCAGCACACTAGAATCCATAGGATGTGATAATTGCTCAGTGTACAAGCTGTGCAGGACACAAGGATGCAAGTGTTATGAGTAGTGGCCTCCATAAGCAGAAGCAGAGGCAGAAAAATAGTCTTCAAAATGTAAAGAATTTAATTAAACAAGATCTAAGACAATAAGAAAAACATTGAGATCTAAAGATCATATGAAGAAAAAGAAACTCAAGGGGAAGAGATGCCTGTGATTGGAACTTCTGGATACTAAGATCACTGAAAGCATTAAGTGTCTCTACCTAGCTTTCTGCATTATTTTATAAATTTGAAGGTTCCACACTGTGAACTCATCTACTCCTTCAGTGCTTAATGGGATAACTCTAAGCTCTGAAAGCTTGTGCATAATGTGTGTTAGCAGAACAGAAGTATTAATGGCATTCCTGCCCTTTGGTTCAATTCCCTAACACAAATACGAGTACCCACATAACGATAAAATTGATTTTATAGCTGCCACTTTATATAGTTTCCAATTACAAAGTGTCATGCACTCAAAGTTAATTAATTTATGAGTTTCAGCACGCAATAAATGGGTCTTTTCTTCTCATCAAGTACAGGTGTGGTCACAATTATAAAGCAGTTAATGGCCTACGCTTTGGCCCATAAAGATGACACCTTGATAAGCTTCATGGAAACAGAATTCTGGAGACAAGCCTCTTTTCAAAACTATTTTAGATTTACTGTGTATCAGGTGCATTTACAGTTGTTGAATTTAATCTAAATTAATCGATCAATAAGATAGATGCACGTTTGTCAAATCTGAGCTGAATTTTATAGCATAAAAATAATAGATTTTTCCAACTTAGTTATTATTATTAATCATGTTTATTATGATAGTTAAAATTTTAGGATGAAATATGCATGTATGGGGTTATGTTCTAATGGTGCTGCAAAGGGAATTATGTGCCAGGGACCTGATCCTGCTCCCACTGAAGTCAAGGGCAAAACTCCCACTCTTTTCAGTGGGAGCCAGAGATGGCCAAAGATGAGAATATACATGTACAAGGCAAGGTATGTTGGATTAATTGTATTTTTTCTGAGGCTTTTATGGCATCTGGATAGCTGAGTATGTTTAAGCAGTGTAACAAAGGGGTTAATTTTCTGGTGTATCCTGCAAGGTTAATCATTTTGACTGTGACACTAATAATAGTGTTATCTTGCTGATGTGGCTACAATTAATACAGCCTTTTCTTCTTATTCAAAAAGCAAATGTAGACAGGGCTGGCTCTGGCTTTTTTGCCGCCCCAGGCAAAAAAGCCGCCTGCTGCCCGCTGCCCCCCGGCGGGGAGCGCAGCAGGGGAGGGCACCGAGCCCGGCCGCAGCCCCGGTCTCCGGCCAGAGCGCCGGGAGGAGGGCGGCGAGCCCGGCCGCGGGCCCGCTCTCCCCGGCCGGCCGGAGTGCCGGGAGGAGGGCGGAGAGCGCGGCCGGGGCCCCGCTCTCCCCGACCGGCCGGAGCGCCGGGAGGAGGGCGGAGAGCCCGGCCGCGGCCCCGCTCTCCCCGGGTGAGCGCCGCCCCCCTCCAGGTGCCGCCCCAAGCACATGCTTGGTAGGCTGGTGCCTGGAGCCGGCCCTGAATGTAGACATACTATATCCCGGGCGGATTGTCTGTGATCCACGCCCAGATGACATGTTTCTAAAGAACAGGATACAGTAGACAAGACACTGCCTCCTTCCCCTCCTCCTCTTTCAGCTGTGCAAATGAGTAGTGTTGGTTGGCAGTGTGGTGTACTCCCAAAGAGCAGGCGTGAGGTTGTCTGGCTGTCTTAATGCTAGGTAAGTTTATGGTCCTCCAGCACTGTCTCTTTGCTGTTTGCCACCTCCTCCTTGAAGAACTGATGCCCAATGTTATACTTTGCTATGGATTATGAAGCAACCCAGATCATATCCCATAACCTATTGTGCAGTACTCAAATACTGCAACAGGTTCTGGCACAGCAAACAGGATGCAGCATGGAACCATCAGAGGGAGTAAAGGAAGGCTGCCTAGTAAATGGTTTGTATAAGTATTACTGTCTGGTTGGGGATAATTAAAGACTGAACGCAGCCAGCGAAAATATAGGCAATTTCCCAGCAAAGCCAAGCACCCCAGACCAATGAGCCCCTGACTAACTTGCTCCGAAAATGCTACACTAAGTAATTCATTTTAATTCAGAACTCAAGTTGCACTGCAGCAGTTCCTTCTTAAAGGTCTGCAGCCATAACTCTTCAGGTACAGCTACACATATATGAATATATGTAGTCTGAATATATTATACTAAATAAAGCTACTGTGTAGTATCAGATCTCAGCTGCTAAGCAAGTCAGGTTTGGTCAGGACTTGGATGGGAGACCTTCATGGAAAACGCATGTGTTGGTGCTACTCCTCCCTCTAGCATGTGCATGGTGACAGTGTATTGCTAGAGCCTTTGAATTTTGGATGGAATATAAAACCAAGATCCTGACCAGAGCTGTGATGTTTTCCCCAGAGAAGCGGGTGGTGAATAGATAGGGGAAAGGGGCATGAATACCTGAGTGTTGCTATTTTTTTCCCCTTCAGACATGGGATTTATTGTGAATCAATAGTTGCTGCTGTCACATAATATAATGTATCAACCAAAAATCTTTCCACCATTCAGAATATTTGGCAAGAAAGAAAGACAATTAATGTATTAAAGATACTGACAGGCAAGGAGCGAAGCAAGATTTATTTAATAACCACCAGGGCTTGGGAAAATGGCACTTTTCAAGTCTCTTGGCTATCAAAGAACCGCAAAGAACATTTTTCAATATGGTCAAACAACACAGTAAAAATGAATCTTAATACATTAAAAAGTAAGTTAGATCTTAGTGCAAGATAGCTTGATCTTCCTAGTTTGGAAAGGACTGCTCCAGGCCAACACCTAAACTGGCACTTGCCTCCCGAAGGAGGATGGGGAAAGAACAGACTGGACAGAGATCATACTCCCCTGTACTTCCAGAGGCACTATGCCTGGATAGGGTTAATGAGCCCAAGAGCTCCTTTTGGGGTGGTCTGACTCTGTACCGCCTCTACCTGGGTCTTAAAGTCTCTCTGTAGCCTTATTACACAATGATTATTACTAAATTTTAAAATAAATGCCTAATTAGAAACTTGTATTTAAAGACCTGATCCAAAGCTCCTGGACTCCAATGGGAGTCTTTCCACTGACTTCAAGGGGTTTTGGACCAGGCCCTAATTCATCACCTATGTCCACAGCGATTCTGTACTGTCGAAAGGTTCATATTGAAAAGGAAACAGTGATCACCATCTAAGTCCCCTCTAAGCAGGCTATCAAAGGATGTGCAGGCGCGCAGTGGGGAGAGGCGCCTTTCCCCTGGCCCCGGGCTTCTGCGGCAAGAAAGGGCTGGGGGGAGTCCTCTCTTCACACCGCAGCCCCAGGGCAGCCTGCAGCCAAAACCCCTCATCCCCGGCCCCACCTCAGAGCCCATACCTCCAGCCAGAGCCTTCACCCACCCACACCCCAACCCTCTGCCCCAGCCCTGAGCCCCCTCCCACACTTCAAACCCCTCGGCCTCACCCCACCACACATCACCTCCATATTGATGCACATAACAAAATTCATTCCGCATATGGATGTAAAAAATTAGAGGGAACATTGATCGCCATTAAGGGTAATAGGAAACAATACTCTAGATCACAAGTTCCCAACCTGCTGTACCCATACCACTAGTTGTATGTGTGCTTGATGTTCCATCAATTCACTTCACAACCATTTTTGAAGATGTTGTTATGGGATCCAATAAAGTTTGGCATAAAACTTTAAAGACAGAAGATAAAGTGGTATTTTCATTGCTAAAACCTGAAGAATTGAGTC